CACTAGAGCTGGCTTCAGAATTGCCTTTTTGGGAAGAGATACACTTGCTTTCCTACACTTTTCCATCCTCTCACCCCACCACACATACATACTTTGCCCCAAAGGAGGAAGGAACTACCAAATGCTTTTGTCAGGTTGCAGGGTATTTTACTAAACCATTCATAAGAATTGGCAAGTTCACTGCGTTAAGCAAAGAGATTGATTAAACATTTGTTCTCAGTGAAAGGTGATTTCTTTTTACATGCTGTGTCTCCTGTTCAGTCTGAGAGAGCAGAGGAAGTTTGGATAAGACTGGGCCATTTATTTTAAATTTGTTTCTCTTATCTTTTTCTGTTTTACTTCAAAAGTAGTAGATAAGATAGTGCCTCTTTAGCAGAAATCCCTCCACCCTCTTCCATATCTCCATCCTAGTAGAAAATCAAATGGAAAACAAAGGGAGTTCTAGGGTAAAGATAAACCACTAAGGCTCCCTAATGTAGATAAAAGTTCTTTCCCAAGGCCAAGGATCTCCCTTGAAATTTGGAGCCAAAGGGCTAGTTTGTAATCAAGGATTCCTTTACCTTGTATTATTTTGTGCAAATATATTAGTATATAATATTCTCATCAGGGACATCATGGTACAGCAGAGCTCTCTGTGACATGGGAGGATTAGGCATTTGGGGTCTTAAGTCCCTTCCATCTTCCTTTCTAAACATAGACTTATCTATTAACAAAACTCTAAATCTAAATTAAGCTCAGTATCATAAGGAAGTACAGAAAAACTGGGAAATCGTGTCCTTGTGATAGTGAAATGTACTAATAAATATTAATCCAAGCTAAAATAGTTGATACTGACTTTGTATGATTCCTTAAGTGGAGAATGTCTCATTCAAAAAATAGACCAAGTGCATTGTTGTGTTTCACAATATGCTACCTAAGCATTGCACACCAGCAATAGATCAAAGTAAAGCATTGAAACACATTAAACATAGACAACAAATATTTTAACAAATATTTATTGATCTATAGTTTGCCCAGTACTAGTTCAGAGCTACAAGCGCCACTATTCTCAGAGTTGGGTAATTCATATCATTTTTCTAGATAGACTTGTATGAAATTTTATCTACTAATTAAGCTGTATTAGCTTTCCCCTCTGGAAAAGTCCTTATTCTTTTGGATCATTTCTCAAAATGTCCTTCCAGCTCTAACCTAAGTGTGTTTGACTTTTAAGGGATTGCTACAGTTTTCATATTCCACCTAGCTCACTCTCCTATTTGCATATTGGATGATCTAGACAGTTCTGCCTGAAATAGTGTTGCCTATCCTATGCAATGCTCTAGTGATATACTCCTTCTGAGTTAAATTCAGAGGGTACGTTTTAAGTAATTAACACATGGCATTCATGTGGTACCTTTGGCATTAAAGTTCTTTCAAATTCCATGCCTGTACCTTTATGGGATAAGTGAGTGAGGTATCATTATCTCCAATTTATAGATGAGAAAACTAAAACGCAGAGAAAGAGAAGAGGCTTCCTGACTCCTGATCAAATATTAATACATATTTTTAGCAGGATCCTATGCTACAGGGACACTATTAGCAAGTAGGTTAGCTTCCCGGAATAGCTGTAGTTCAGGTTTTGCTGTTAATAATGCCCACTGCAACTTACTTCCATAGCCCCAAAGGGTGGAACAGAAGTGATGTCAGACCCCTTGTCTCCCACCCCGTGGAGACTATAGAGGAAAGAAGAAGCTGCTTACCAGAAAGCGAGCCTCCAGAAGTCAAGGCCTAGGGACACTGCTGCCAACAGTTTCAAAAGGGCTAAAAAGGGGACCCGGTGAGCCCACATAGTGAAGAGCAAGAAGAAGGTGAGGCCAGCAGCAGGCACTGGCCTCACAGTGGATTCACACCCAGGTAGTGGGCTCCCACCGAGGAATCTCCAAAAGGGAGGTAGAGGCGTAGTCATAGAAGTTCTTCTGAGATACATATTTATTAAAAGTATGTTTGAGATGTTGGGAACAGAGGAGGCATATTAGGTCCTCCTAATGGCATTATGGTTTACAGTTACCTGGGTGGGGGATGTCTCTGTGCTCTGCTTACCAAAGGCCAATCAACCTCTCAGGGTTTTCTGACACACATGAGTTTCAGGATCTACCTTAAGCCTAGTTCAGGGTTTGAAATGGTCCAATGAAGCTTGTATATGGGAACTAGTGTCCTCTTTTCCCAAGACTTCTTGTGAAAATTGCTTCTTTTCCCACTACACAGATAAATATATCATATGTTGATAATATAATGTGGTACCAACTAAAATGTATGCACCAAATAATTGGAGCAGTTTTAGTTGTTAATGCTTAAAGTAGGAGTATTTTTTTCTGTGTTCCTAGAAGAAAAAAATTATCATTTATCTGTAAAGAAAATTAAATTATAAATATGAATGAGAACTGAGATGTGGAGGGCGCAGGGTGGCAAGAAAAATATTATAGTGTAGAAGAGAATTTGGACTAGGGGGAAAATTGATTTTCTTTGTGTAAGAACAAAATCTAAAATGGGAATTGATACAGATTTTGAACAGATTTTTCTTTTTTGGTGGGAAATCTAAACCTACCCCATACCTCCCCAAACACACTTTATTTAAATAAGAAGCCAAGACTAAAAATTTTAAGATATTTGCTCAAAATAATATAGCTAGTAAATAGTGATGATTGCAGAACTGGAATTATGATTTTGGAAGCCAGATAGAAGACCAGACTGATTCTCTTGGCTGCAGTGTCCAGCTAGCAGGGACGCCCAGGCAAAGCAAAAAACATTTATTCAATATGATTTGAGAACCTTTCTGAGAAAGGTAAGCTACAAACTCAGGATGAAAAGACAAGTGAGACACAGCTCCTGTGTGAACTCACGGCCTCCTGGGGAGATCAGGCACACACAGGAGTAAATTGCAACATGCTTCTGGAAAAGCCCGTCCTAGACACGTGAGTGAAGTAGTGTGGAGGCTGCCCAGAATGGGTGACAGAGGGGGAAAGGGAAGAAAGGCTCTACAGAGTCGGTAACATCTGATCAGGGTCTTGAAAGATTAGCAGAAACTTTTCAGACGCCAGAGGAGCAAGGCCATTTCAGATTAAAGGGGCTACTATATAAGGAAATAGAAGACAATGTTTGGGTAGAGCCCAGTGTGGGATGGAGCGCGGAGCGGAGGCTGGAGAAGTAGGTCGACGGCGGACTTCCAGGCTCTCTGCTCCCTGTTTGCACTTTGCCCTTGGGCAGTGTGAACCCCTAAAGGTTGGTTATCAAGGAAGCGCCTAAGAAAGCACTAAGAACTGCCTTAGAAATTGTTTAAAATAGGTGCTATAGTTACATTTTAGGAGATTATTTAGTTTCGATGAAATTTAAACCCTTATTTAGGGTGACTGACTGACTGGGTTTACCAGAGACTCTCCTTGTTTACAGCACAGAAAGTCCCAAGTCCCAGAAATTGCTCAGTCCCCAGACAACTTATTCGCACTGAGAAGAGTAGTCTGCAAGGCAGTGAAGATCACTGAGAGGGGACAAGGAGGGAAACACGATGATCCATAGCGCAAAAGGGGGAGAAGGTAGCCAGTGGCAGACAGAGCTGTGTCTGTGGCCCCCCACCCACAAGGAGTCCAGCTGGAAGCCCAGTTTCATTGCACACCCTCTGAAGGCTTTTGAGTGATTCTGGGGTTGCCCCTGAGCCTTTCTGAAGGCGACGTGCCATTCGGATGTTTACCTCCAGTGTGTAAACAGACTATTAGAGCAAATATTGGTGGACGGAGGGTGACACAAGGAACAACACCTCACGTGGCCTCTCAGTGTCCGGGAAGGCACCTCTCAGCCACTTCCCCGACGTCTTCCTTTCCTTGTGGCTGATGCCATGCAAAGGAGGTCCTGGGAGAAGAGGCCCTTTGTGATGCTGCGTCAACTTGAGAGGGCTCTCCTCTGTTAATATCAGTGAGCAACTCACTGGAAGCCACGGGTTCACTTGAAACCTGAACCACAAGTAGGACTACAACGCGTATTTGATGGAAAATAACAGCTAATGCTTATTAAGTGCTACTATGAATTATGTGAATTACTTTATTTAATCCTTACAATAATCCTATGAAGTAAGCATTATTATTGTCTCTACTTACATTTCAGAAATAGGTAAAAAATGTGAAGTGGGTTTTCTGAGATTACCAATGAGTAAAAGTGGAAGGGCCAGACTTTTTAACTCAACAAGACTTTAGAGTCCATGCTCACAAGATACAATGTACAGCGCTCTAATGTATGCACAGACGGATGGGTGGATGGATAGGCAGAAGGGCTGTACTTCACCAGAAGTGCAGAAAATAGAAGACAACCAGGTGCCTTGGAGCTAGGATTTTGTACTGCTTCACTATTTTGAAGGATTTTAAATAGCATGTGAATTTTTATAGAAAAAATTTTGAAAATAGGTATTTCTACCTAAAACTTCAGAGATCCCGAATATATTAGGTTCAGTGTGCAGCCCAGACAGTATTTTTTAAAATTTGCACAATTTTTTATTGGGCACACTTAGATTAGGAAATAATTACAACTCTCACATGCCTAGAAAATAACTAGGACATACCTAACTCTCTGGTATACAGATCAGAGATCAAACTGAAGGAAAATAACACAATAGATACTTCTTTATCAGTTAATTTAGATTTTATGTGATTTATATAATACTTCTTCCTGATTGAAAAGCTTTGTGTGTGGTCTTTCCTTCATTCCCCTGAATTATATACACGTAATCTGTTACTGTAATCTTGGAAGGAACAGCTGCTCCTGGGATCCAAGCAGAATCCCGAATCAGGAGTTGGGGGTGTGTGGAGAGAGAATGATAAGGTGCACGAGAGAGAGAGAGAGAGAGAGAGAGAGAGAAAGATTCATTTCTGTCCATATTTGGGAATGACACAGAATGGATAAGCCATGCCTGGAGATTTTAGAGGGATACTGAGCATTCCCTTCTGCTGCTTCTTTTGACAGATGTGAACAGCAAGGAAATGCCAAGGGAAAACCAGACTTCTGTGTCTCACTTCGTTTTGGTGGGCCTGCACTACCCACCACAGCTGGGGCTGCCGCTCTTCCTAGCCTTCCTTGTCATCTACCTCCTCACTGTCTCTGGCAATGGGCTCATCATCCTCACTGTCTTAGTGGACATCCGGCTCCATCGCCCCATGTACTGGTTCCTATGTCACCTCTTCTTCTTGGACATGACCATTTCTTGCGCTATTGTCCCCAAGATGCTGGCTGGCTTTCTGGACAGTAGGGTTATCTCCTTTGGGGGCTGTGTAATCCAGCTTTTTTCTTTCCATTTCCTGGGCTGCACTGAGTGCTTCCTTTACACACTCATGGCTTATGACCGTTTCTTGGCCATCTGTAAGCCTTTACACTATGCTACCATCATGACCCGCAGAGCCTGCAACTCCCTGGCTTTGGGCACCTGGCTGGGAGGGACCATCCCCTCCCTTTTCCAAACAAGCTTCATATTCCGGCTGCCCTTCTGTGGCCCCAACCAGGTAGACTACTTCTTCTGTGACATTCCTGCCATGCTGCGTCTAGCTTGTGCTGACACCACCCTCAATGAGCTGGTCACTTTTGTGGACATTGGCTTCCTGGCGCTCACCTGCTTCCTGCTCATCCTCACTTCATATGGCTACATTGTGGCTGCCATACTGCGAATCCAGTCGGCAGATGGGCGCCGCAATGCCTTCTCCACCTGTGCTGCCCACCTCACTGTCGTCATTGTTTACTATGTGCCCTGCACCTTCATTTACCTGCGCCCTGGCTCACGGGAGCCCCTGGATGGGGTGGTAGCTGTCTTCTACACTGTCATCACTCCCTTGATGAACCCCATCATCTACACACTGCGCAACAAAGAGATGAAGGCTGCACTACGAAGACTGGGGGGCCACAAGGAAGTGCAGCCTCACTGACTCCAGCCACCACAGACTTGTAGTAAGCACCTAAATGCAGGGCACAGGACAGGACACCGAATAATTGGGAAGACTTAGGACAGAACGGGAAAGAAGGATTCACACAGGAAGTGGAGGACCTCCAGGTAGAGAGGTGGGAACCTGGGAAGTTCCACATTGTAACCTGCTCTCAAACATGATTTTCCATTTGTCTTCCTTCAGTACCCATGAAAATCAATCAGAGCCACTCAGCAAGGGTGGTACTTGCAGGAAAGATTCAAGATCAGGAAAATGTCCATATGAAAGCTCTGTTTCTCTGTGGCATCCACCTACATGTATGTTATCGCTTCTGATCCCTGCACTGATACCTGTATACCCCTTCACAGGCTATAAATAACTTTCCTGCAAACTATCTGATTCAACCTTGACAAAAATTATGTGAGGTAGGTATTATTATTATTCTCATGTAACTGTGGAGAAACTGAACTTCAAGGAAGTGGCTTGTCCAAACTTCCTTTTCTCTCCTTCTACCTTGAAAAAAGTAGTAGATGACATTGGACTTAAACTTGAGGGGGCAATTTCACCTCAATGTGAGGGGGGCATTCCATGTGCACTGCACCACGACTTGCATAGGTCTAGTCTTCTGGGCTTGCACAGGGCTCCACTTTGGTTAAATTTATGTAGGTATATTGAACAAGGATAAGCTTTCTTGCACTGCAAACACAGACTGGTCTCCGTGATGCTTCCGTAGATATTAATGAAGCAGAACATCAGAGATGGTAAACAAATGTATGTGCTACCACACTCCTGCATTGGTATGTAGCTTGTGGGTATGAGTGTGGGCAGGGTGGGATGGTTGCAAGAAGATGAGTAAAAGTGACCTGAAGCCCATTCTAGTGACTGTTCTTATAAGAATGTTGCCAGTGTCTAAATGTGGGTCCTTCGCTCTCAGGACATCCTGAGTACTAGAGCTGCTTTTGTTGGTATTTCAAAAATACATGGGCCAATACAGCCCAAAAGGATTACTATATTTTCCAAACTCAATTCCAATAGTTACAAACTGGGGATAATGGAGTAGAACTGATTTCTATGCACCAGGAGCTTTCTGAGAAGAAATATGTCTTGCCAATGACTTTTCTTATTGTAACAGCAGAGATGTAAAGTTAAATATCAGAATTAAGTATAAATAGGCAATCCAATTCAACTCAACACAAATTTATTCAGTATAACTCTCAAACCATGACATTGTGATGTATTCCAAATGAGTTTATAATCTTTTTTTTTTTTTTTTTTTTTTTT